CCGCTTCTGTGCACATCTCCCTTTAGATAAAATGTAAAAAAAAAAAAAAAAAAAAAAAAAAAGTACTAAGAGTCATATAAAATGCTTCTTACCTTAAAGGAAACTACTTTTTCCCGACAAAATAATCTTACAGATGTCTTCAGCACAGTTCTAAAACACTTAGTCAACTACTTACACGGAGCCCACAGTTCATCGGTTTCAAATCTTTTGTTCATGCCGTAACACTGGATTTGCATGTCCATGGCTGGGCCAGCCCCCCTGCCCCCTGCCCCCGGGGGTGGGCTTCTGTTGGCCCACATGAGCTGGGGCTGGTCCAGATGGCTGGATGGAGGGTGCAGGGCGTGGGCGAGGAGCAGGGTCCGCAGTTACCCTGGAGCAAGCAGGTCGGGGCAGAAGGTTCCTGCAGGTTCTTTGGGCCAGCGGTGGGCGTGGGAGGTGGAGAAGGGGACTCAGCCCTGGGCATTGGTGTGTCACTGCTCCCTCGTGTCTCTTGCTCACCCTGCTGCCTGCCAAGGCCTCTTTTCTGCAGTCAGCCCCTCAGGCTCTGAGCAAGCCCTCCAGCGAGCCTCAGCGAGGGGGCGGAAGGGAGGCGGGATTAGGTGAGGTAGAGCGATTTGTCCCTGGGGAGCAGGCTGTGGAGAGAGGAGGGACTGTCAAAGCTGGCCCCCCAGACCTGCCTGGCCCTCAGGGGCCTAAACACAGGGCCCAGGGGGATCTGACCTGCACTCTAGCCCTTTACTCCATGCACTGGACTCTGCTGTCCCTCCGGACGATGACTGGTCCATCCCCAACTTGCCACTAAGCAGAACCAAACACCGCTCCTGGCATTCTGGAAGGACCCACCCAGTCCTCAGCACATCTGTCCCTCATCCACACCCATTCCAACACACCATAGTGCTCACATCCGTCTGTAATCATGTAATCACGGTGTTTCCGGTTGTAAATCTTACATAGAATTCAAGGCGGCAGGCACTTACTACGTTTTCAAAAAAGGCAGTGCTGTAGGCTGTCCTCCATGTGCGGAAAGTGAGGCCCAGGCGGAAGGGCCCACCTCAGAAGTTTGGATATTCTACGAGGTCCACTAAAGACCCCCACACTTTTGGGAGAAATTGAGGGGAGGTAGAAGGAGTAGGGTAGCAGGGTCTGCACCCACTTGGGGTGTGGGGAAGGGTGTTCCTGCTGAGCTGAGTGCCCACCTGTGGATCTCGCACCAGCCATGTCAGAGAGGGGCATGGCCATCCTTAACTGCTCAGTACCCAGGAGCCTCCTGCACCAGCCATCTGGGCACTGAGGAGCCCTGTGCTGGAAGGCCGACCGCTGGGGCAGGGGTGGCTGGTCCCTGGCGCCAGCAGGCCACCCAGCTACCAATCATTAACGCTAGGCCTTTGGTGGTGAGGAGCTGTTTCTGGGAGGCGGCTGCTCAGCACTACCTTTCCCAGCTGTGGCCACAGACTGATTCTCACCAAGGGAGGGGGCAAAGCAGGTAGGTTAAGGAGCACGTGTGGCTCCTTCACTCTGTGTTTCCCCTTCTGCTGGCTGAAATGAAAAAATGACTCTCCCTTGATGACAGGAAGGAGGGACCACACAGATGGAGCTTTCCAGAGGAGGGGGCCATTCACCTGGGTTCAAGGCTAAGCATGCAGGCAGGGATCGGGAGGCCCAGAGGCCTGAGCCCACAGGAGGACCAGGGAGGAGCCCCATGATGCTGGAGTCTGGGTGTCTAGTAGGATGGTGGGCTGCAGGGCAGGGTGGGGCATACCTCTAAAGTTTGGGATTCCTTGGGTTAGATGCTCGGCCCCTTCTAGGGTGCCGTGAACACTACTGGTGCTGCCCCCAGATCTCCTTCATTGCGTGTTCAGTTGCCCACTTCTCCAGAGAACTGCCCTTGACTGAATGGAACTGCCTTGTCGAGGGGCTATACTCGCCCGCAGCCCGCAGCCCACAGCCAATGGCTGACTGGCACAGGCTACAAGAAGGCAGCTCTCTGACGTCCAGGTGGGACCAACTTTGTGGAACCAATCATGCTCCAGAGCTCCCCGTGGGCTCAGGCTGAAGCAGGCCTCCAGCTGAGACCACACCCTTGCTCAACTCCCTCCTCTGCCCTGTCCTGCTGCCCTCCCTCCCCACCTCCCCAGAGCACTCCCTCAACACATCCTCAGAGCCTCAGGCTCTGCTTCCAGGGAACCTGACTTAAGACACAGGACCTTTCACTGGTTGTCACATGGAAGCATTTGTGGGGGGAAAAAAAAAAAGGTGAAAGGAGAAAAGGCAAGACAGAAGACCAGCCTCAGTTTCCCAAATAAGCCCTGGAATCAGATCAGCTGAGGCCTCCTGGGGCCTCACCCTGCTCTGCATCCATCTCCTGGATGCCGCCAGTGCCCAAGAGGAACCCCAGCAGAGCTGGCGGTGATGTGGAGGGCCTCACCCAGGTCCAAATCACCCCCTGGCCTTTTCCCCACCCCCTTGTCATCCTTGTTCCCACTGTCCAAGCGTCAACAGGGCAAAGGCAGGGCAGGAGTGGATTGGGTGAGGACTGACCTGCAAGTACTGATGCCACACTCCGCGCTGGGGTAACTGCTGTCCCAGTCTCCACTGCTCGTGGGGTTGGATGGGCCAGGTGAACGGGACCCTGACCCGCTGGGGAACTCAGAGATGTGAGGGAAGTCCTGCAAAGGGGGAGGAGGAGACAGGTGAGCAGGAGAGACAAAGGAGTGGACTGCCTCTGGTAGGAAGGTGGGGGTGGGGGCTCTCTGTGCCTGAGGGTGTTCACACTCTAAAGAAACACTTCCTCTGGGTGACATAAAATCTGCACTTTGCCTCTGCCTGGAATGAGGCTTTTTTTCCCCAGGAGAGCACCTTTTGAAAGGTGACCGTCTTAGCTGAATCTGAGGGTGAAGGACCTTGCCTTTTGAGTCTTTCCCCTTCTGGGCCTCAGTTTCCCAATCTGTAAAACGGAGTTACACCTTCTCCTCACTTACAGACTATTTCATTATCCAGTATTTCGCATTTCCAACAGTAAAAAATCTACTCTCCAACTATTTTGCACATTAACAATGTACGTCTGGCAGTAACGGACACCGAGGTGCGAGGGTGCGAGGCGAGAGTGACACTGGCTGTAATCGTTAAGGTTCTGTGTCAGCTTGGCTAGGCCATGATTCTCAGTGGTTTGGTAGTTATGTAATGATGTAGTCATCCTCCATTTTCGCATAACACAATTTTGCATAATGACCTGGTCTTTGGAACCCAACCATATCACTAAATGAGGAGAGGGTGTATCGGGCTGAATGACCTCCAGAGCTATGTCAGCCCTGTAACAGTCTCTGCAGAACAATTAGTGGGCGTCTGGTCTCCAAAGCTTTGGGAAGAGTCAGGGGCTAGGGAGGAAGCCACAGTGGCCTCAGCCCCTTGGGTCAAGGAACAGACGTGGATAGAGGATAAGAGAAGGAGGGCTTGGAATATCCTAAGAATATATCCGGCAACTTAGCAACTGTTCACTGCAACCAGTACATCTCAGGTAAGGTGTACTAGACCCATTTCATAGATGCGATAACTGAGGCTCAGGAAGGTAAGGTGCCTAGACTGAGGTTGCATAGCTGGTGAGTTGGCAGAGCCAGAATTTGAAATCCCAAGCTGCCTCCCCTCTCTGAAAGGGTCACCGAATTGCCCATTCCCACAATGTCCTGCTTACCTGTGGCCCTGAGGGCGAGGGGCTCATAGCCAGCTGCACCTGGAGTGCCATGGGGGTGGGCAGGACGGGAGGCTGGGGGGCCGGGGACATGCTAACAGGTGGGCTGAGGAGGGCGCCCTGTGCGTGGGGGGGCAGTGACAGCTGCTGGTGCAGAGGGGGGCTGAGTGAGAAGGAGGGTGGTGGTGGTGGGGAGGATGCACTGAGGCCTGGCAGCAGTGACTTGGAGCCCAGCGTCCGGGCGAGGCTGGCAGGAGAGGCCCCGCTGCGGAAGGCCTGCAGGTCCGAGGGCGTCAGGAAGGAGGCCAGGCCTGGCATGGCATACATGGGCTGCTTGGGTGGGAGCATTTTGGCTGGTGGGTTCGCCTGAGTGCTCTTGGTCTCACACTGGTCCGAGGAGCTCTGGAAGGAAACAGAAACCAGTCACTCTGGAGAACAGGGAGAAGCCAGAACTGGGGCCATGAGACCAGGTGGTTCTGCAGCCCACTGACATGGCCCCTGGCTGGCTCTCTTGGGGGAGAACTGTGGACTAACCAGAGATCATGCAGGGTCCTTAGTACAATTGGATGGTGGTGCAAATGATTCATGTGCTTGCTGCCAGCCAAAAGACTGGAGGTTCAAGCCCGCCCAGAGGCGCCTCAGAAGAAAGGTGATCTGCTTCCAAAAAATCAGCCATTGAAAACCCTATGGAGCACAGTTCTACTCTGACACACAGTGCAGTTGCCATGAGTTGGAAATGACTCAATGGCAACTGATTGGTTGGTTGGCTAGTTCACTTGGCTCTGCCCATCCAACTACCCCTGCTTTAATCACTGTGGGCTCTATCCCACCATGGGGGAATTCCATGCTTCTCACCAGCCAATGAAGCCACCATCATCCAGTTGACCTAACCTTCCTTCATGCTTCTCTCTAGGCTCTATGCCTTTGCACAATCTGTTACCTCTACTTGGAACACCCTCTTTGGTCGATTCTTTATGGTCTAACCCAGATGTCATCTCCTCTGCAGCAGCTCCAGGACAACCTCCCGCCCCACTTGGTCTCCATGTCCATGCCCACACCTTGCATCCTGACTTGCTGATGTTCACAGAGGTGACAGGCAATGCAGTCAGGAGTAGAAGCCAAACTGGAAGACCAGCAAAACCGGATTTGAATCCTATATATCCACTTAATAAGTTGGATAATTTCGGTCAAGTTACTTAACCTCTCTGAGTGTTGGGTTCTTGTTGGGAGAATTAAATTAAATTCTCATGGTAAGTGTTAAGTGCCCAGCATGTTAAGTGCCCAGCAATGAGCCTGGCATACAGTCGGTGCACTAGAGAGGTGACCATGTTGGCTTTACTCATCCTTTCCAAGACGTATGTTGTTGGCTGTTGTCTAGTCAGTCCCTGACCACTGGCAACCCCATGCACAAGGGAACAAAATGCTGCCTGGTCCTGCACCATCCCCATGATTGGCTGTGGACTGGACCATTGTGATCCATAGGGTTTTCACTGGCTGATTTTCGGAAGTAGATCATTAGGCCTTTCTTCCTAGTCCCTCTTAGTTTGGAAACTTCACTGAAACGTGTTCAGCATCACAGCAACACACAACCCACCACTAACAGATGGGTGGTAGCTGCGCATGAGGTGCATTGGTTGGGAATTGAACTTGGGCGTCCCTCATCGAAGGTGACAATTCCATCACTGAACCATCACTGCCCCTAGTTCTGGCTATTCCTGTGGGCCCTGGTTCTTGCTCCATCCCTCAAGTGGCCCTATTCTTAACAGGGTAGTGCCTAGGGATTCCAGTGTTACCTTGGAGACGAGGCTGGCCCTGTAGGCTGCCAGAGCCTTTAGATACTCCTTCTTAGCTGCTTCAGTCTTCCTCTTGTAGGCCTGAAATATCCAAGAATGGGCAACATCGGGGAGAACGTCATAGAGGAGACACGGTACAGGGACCAAGGATGGGAAGGAGCTGTCAGCAAGGCATGGATTTGAGAGATGGACCTGAATGAGGGTGAAGGATCCAGAGCTGGCCAGTCAACTGCTGGCCCCTCTCTGGGAGCACTGCACAGGGAGTCTGGAGAACAGGCTACATCCCAGTTCCTCAGCCAAGTCACTGTATGCCCTTGGGTAACATGTTTCACCTCCCTGGGCCTCCAGGTCACCGTATCTGGCTACAGAAAGACTCGGCCCCTCGAAGACCCCAATTCTGACCTAGCACAGTATAGATTTCCTAATGCTGAACCATCTTTGCATCCTAGAATGAACTCTACTTGCTCATAGTCTGTTAGTCTGGATTCAATTTGCTAATATTATTAGGATTTCACATCCAGGTTCACATGGGTGGTGGACTGACTGCAGGAATGGCCCCAGTGTGTTCACATCTCCCTTTTGGCAGCGCCCTCCCACAGTGACCCCGGGCTTGGTCTGTGACTGGCTTTAGCCTATAGGGCAGTAGCAAATATGATGGAAGTGGAGACTTGAAAAGTGCTTACACATTGGGGCTTGCTCTCTTGCTGCTCTTGGAACTCTGAGTTGCTATGTGAAGAAGCCTGAGCTAGTACACTAGGTGATAGGGACAGGTGGCCCAGTTTGCCTCGGTTGCTCCAGCTGACAGCCATCCAACTCCCAGAAACAGAGTCACCTAACTGACTGGCAGCTGAGTATAAACACGTGACTGAACACAGATGAGACTGGCAGAAGAACCACTCAGCCAAGCCCAGCACAATTCATGGACCCTAGGATTTATGAGCTGAATAAATAGTTGTTTGAAGCCACTATGTTTTGGGGTTGTTCGCTATACACTCAAAACTAATTAACTTGGAACTAACTGATACATCCCAGCTCCCTTGCTGCTCAGATGCCATAACTCTAAGGCCCAATGTGTTCTATGCTAGCTCTCAGAGTCGCCCAGTGGGATTGCCCTCTGGTTGCCCACAGTAGTACCTTCTTTGATAACACATCCTTCATCGGCTGCCTTTCTTTCCCTGTCTCACTTCCCCACTCCCTTACCAGCTGATACTGGGGTCACCTCCCAAATAAACTACTCATACTATAATATATTCTGAAAATACTTTAAACTTTAGAATGTGGTATAGGAGGCATTTCAAATAAGTAAAGACAGGACTGATAAATTAATAATCCATTTCTCTGGCCCCAAACCTGGTACTCTATCCATGTTTCTCACCTTAATGAATGGCATCTCCATTCACCCAGAATGCTAGCCAGAATCCCAAGAATGAGTCTTCCTCGACCTGCTCTTCACCCTCTACCCGATCCACCTGGTCCAGGCCACTGTCAGCTCTCTCCTGGACGACTGTAATAGCCTTTTGCTCTGCCATGCCCATTCTTTCCTGCTCCAGGCTGCCAGACTGATCTCTCCTCTGCTTAACGCTCTTCCATGGTTTCCTCTGCTCTTAGAACAAGACCCAACTCCTTCCAAGGCCTACAAAGCCCAGCATCATCTGGCCCCTGCCCACCATCCCAGCTTCATCTATGTCATGATGACTCTCAAAATTTCACTCCAGCCATCCTGGGCTCAGTTTAGTCCTGTGTACTTGCCAGGCTCCTTCCCATCACCAGGCCTTTGCATGCACGTCTCCCCCGCTCGGGGTAACTCACCCTTCAGTCTCACTAGGAGGTCTGACCCCTGTGACTCTGTCTAGACCTTTTCTTTTTGCTCTCATGCACCATGCACCCACCTGGTCCATGGCACAATCACAATTGTAATTTTACATTTATTTATCTGCTTATTTGACCCCAATTGATCTTCCCAGCTCTACAGATCTGAGTGTCAAATCCTGAGTCTACCCCAACTCACTGTGGTGACCATGGGCAAGTCACCTAGCCTCTCAATGCCACTGTCTCCTCCTATCAAAACAGGAAAGCAATGGCGAACTCCCCAGGGTGCTTTAAGGGCGAAGTGAGATAACGGAGGGAGAGCCCAGCACAGTGCTCAGCACAGATACGGCTTAGATAATGGTTGCCAGTATTCCTGTTTCACAGATAAGGAAACTGAGGCTCAGAGAGGTTAGGTGAGCAGCCTCAGGTCACACAGCTGGTAGCCTGCATTTACTTATGAGCTAGTGCTGCTCCCTACTCCCCTTGGAGGCCCTTTAGAGGGGGCCACAGGCATGCAGTCAGTGAGATGCGGAGCTCTGGCCTGGACTCCAGACGTTCAGAGTTGGAGGGACAGGATGGTTGGAGATCCTTGTCCTTGTTTTATAGATGAGGAAGCAGAGGCTCAGAATGGTTAAGTCATTAACAAACGTGGGTGGTAAACAGTAGAATTGGAAGGGACCCAGCTTTCCAGCTTATAGATGGCCAAGCTGAGCCCAGGGCGACCTCTGCAAGAACCTCAGGTTCTGCAGGCTGGGTCTGGTTTCAGACCTTCTGAGTCTGTCCTTAGCTGCAGGACCATGAAGCCTTGGGGATAGCCCAGAAAGGGATCAAGACTCACCTGCTTCTGCTCCTCTCCCAAGCTGTCCCACATGGAGGCCACGATTTTGGACACGTCACCGAAGGTGGCGCTGGGGTTCTGTCCCTTGATGGCAGCCTGAGTGTCTCTGAAGAACAGTGCGTAGGCTGACACTGGCTTCTGGGGCTCATTAGGGTCCTTCTTCTTCTTCTTCTTTGGGTTCTTGGCCTTTTTTCCTGTGTCAGCTGAGGGTCTCTTCTCTCCCAAGATCTGCCCAGGTGAGAGGAGTCAGAAAGCCCTCACAGTCAAAGGACCTCCTGCCGAAGCTGATCCAACCCAGCCTCGGCCAGAGCTGGACTTTGCTCAGTAGCCTCACACACGGGCAATGATGGGCCTCAAACACATGCAGAATGGGCCACACTGTCAGGCTGGCCACCCACCAGGTGGGGTGGCAACTGAAGCCTTGCCCCGGGCTGGACAGACAGAGAGACAGATGAACATACACACACAAATGTCCTAGGTAGGAGCTCCGGGTTTCTGTTTAACTCATTAATGAGAGAATCAGCATGACGGCAGAGCAGGCTCAAAGACATACAGGAGGAAGAAGTATTTATAGTCCCTGAAAGAATGCTAGAATAAGATCACTAAATCACATGTAAAAGTGGTTAATACCCTATTGAGCAATCGAACTATAACCTTTGGAGGTTTTACTCTTTTCTACTGGACAGAAATCATTTGCACTTCTATAGAAAAAGATTAATTTGCCTTGTCATCAGATAAAAACCATTCACAGCTCTATCACTCTTTTTCAAGTTACATCTATTTTTACAGAGTTGTAAAATACCCTAATCCATAATCAATAATGAATCAAAACAAGGGTACGTTCTCTTAGAAAATCAGGTAATTCTTGAATGAGCCTGTTGGACAATGCTCTGGGATGACACTGAAAGAATATGTAGTTTTTTGGCCCTGTTTCTAAGTTTTGGATATATATTTTTTCTTAACAGCCTTCCCCCTTGTGATCACAGATAATCTCCAAAGATCATTCTTGATTACAAAGGGTCGGTCTCCTCCACCACACTTCAGCTGGGTAACTTTGGGCAGGTTGCTTAATCTCCCTGTGAGGGGAGGGACAGGAGAGGCCAGCGATGGAGTCAGTGGCCTCATCCTGGACACTTGGATCTGGAGCAGTCAGACTCCAAGACCATAATCCTGTCAGTGCCTGAAAAAGGGCTTCCAGGGGGCAGATATGGGGATGCTCACCACAGACCTCAGGCCTCACAGGGACCCAGGACTTTAGTCAAAGACCCTGGATCCTGCAGTGATGACCACAGCTCTGAGTAGCAAGAAAACGAAGGTGACACCATGGAGTGATAAACTGTGGACCAGTGGACAAGACTCAGGCCTCCACATCTGAGGGACAGTGAAGGGCAGGGATCTGTGGCAATGCTGGTTCTGTTCCTGAGTCTTTCACTGTAGCCACCCACCTCTCTGAACCTCAGTTTTCTTTGCACCTTGCAAGATAAGGGATGAAGAGGTGCCTTGTAATTGATGAAGAGCTAAACAGATGTGGTTGAGAGCACATATGCTGGAGTCAGACCGTAAGCAGCTGGGCTTGAATCCCAGCTCTGCCACTTACTGCTGTGTGACCCTGGATAAGTTACTTAACCTGTCTGGGCCTCAGCTTCCCCATCTGCCAAATGGAAATAATCATAGTAACCTACCACGTAGGGTTGTTCTGAGGATTACATGGATGAATACGTATTACATGCCTAGAACAATGTCTGGTCCATAGGAAGTGTTTTGTAAGTGTTTTCTAAATACAAAATAAAATAAAAACCTTGCCTGGCCTATGATAGTGGCTGAGTGATCCTGAGACGAAGGTGGACCAAGATTCAGAGGCACCCACCCGAGTCAACAAGGTCAGGGTCTCTGACAGGTGGTATGGGCGCCATGGTTACTGCCCTGGGCATCTGTAGAAAACGTGGAAAAAGTCTGAGAGGCCCTTATGAAGAAGAAAGGGTATGGACTGTGGGAGGCGGTAGTCATGGGATCGAGTCTGGATTCTGTCACCAGCTCGTTGGGAGACCCTGGGAAAGCACTTCCATCCCTGGCCTTTCCTGGCCTCTCTTTTGTTCCCCAGTAAAACAAGATGCTCTGACAGGGAGACAGATTTAGAGAGTGCAAAGACAGGCCCACAGCTGGCCAGGTGGTGGCTCTCATCACTGACATGTTCTTGAAGAGGCCAGACCACCCCTGGGCTCCGGGGATGTTGCAGGGGGCATCCCCCAATGGGGGGCCATTTTTAACACCTCATCCCCACTGTCAGTGCTGAACACCCTGGGTCCAGAGGTGCCCTCTGCTGGACCCCACATTTTTGTAAGAATATCTTCTAAAAGGCCAAGGTGGCCATAAAATGTGACCCTGAGGATCTTGCAGATGCCACTGAAATGACCCAATGGCCATCCAGGTGTAAGACTTCCATTGTGCTCTCATGGCATTCTCCCACCCCAGCCCCTCGACATTTATTGGTGTTTTCTCTGCTTTATACACAAGGCCATGGAAGCACAGAGAGGGTAGACCTTGTCAAGGACACACAGCAAATTTAGCACCAACAGGTGCTATTCCCATTGACAAGATGTTCTGGTCAGTGGTCCCTGTTCTACTTGCTGCTTTTCTTCCTCCTCCTCTTCCGGCAAAGGGTACAGACACTCTTCTAGTCTTTTCTAGAGGTGGTGATGCCCATTTCCACATAGCACCCACCCCCTGCTGATGGGAGGGCATCTTAAGGCTTTTCACCTCTGCCCCTACATACCTTGAAATGTGCTTCCGACTCCTCCTCCTGGGTTGAACTGGAGGGAGAGGGGGTCGCTGATTTGCTCCCTGGGGGTGACGGGGAGCTGTGGGTGATGCCACTCCGGATGCCCATCTGAGAAATGAGCTGGGACTGGCTGAGGGCGCTCATGTGGCTGGCCAGCATCCCCGGGCGGCCCAGCAGGGGCCCTGGCCGGCCTGAGTCATAGGCAGCAACCTCTGAGTGGACCATCTCCTGGATCTAAGAGAGGAGGACAGGGTGTTTTGAGTTAGAAAGGATCTGCCCCATCACACCATGACATCTGCATTTTGGGACTCAGAAGAGAGGGCATGTAGGTGAGACGTCAAGGGTGGCCCGGCTCCACTCTGGGCTGTGCCTTCCCTGTGGGTCTCCAGGTGGAGTGGCCACCACATTCCATTCTGACCCCTGCATGTGTGGGTGCACCTATGGGGGGCCTTCAACCCCTTGACAGTTTGCCATCCTGTTGACATTCACCCTAGACAAAAGGTTAGTACTTCTGCCCTTGCCAGAAAGCTCGGTCTAGCTGTAAACTAATCACTTAATGATACTGAGTCTTCTCTCCTGGAATGTGCTGTTTCTGCATTCATTCACTATGCAGTACAAAGCGGATAGATGCTGGAACCCAACTGCCTTTTGAATCCTGCTTCTGCCATTTATAAGCTGGGTGACTCTGGCCAAGTTTCTTAACCTCTCTGTGCCTCAGTTTCTTCATAGGTAAAATGTGGATTATAGTCAAACCTACCCTACAGGATTGTTAAAGGATTAAATGTACCTGGAATCAAAAACAAAAAAAAACAAAAAACAGTTGCTGTCGAGTCAATTTTAACTCATGGCAACCCCGTGTGTGTCAGAGCAGAAGTGTGCTCCACAGGGTTTTCAATGGCTGATTTTTCAGAAGTAGATTGCCAGGCCTTTCTTCCAAGGTACCTGTGGCTGGACTTGAACCTCCAACCTTTTGGTTAGCAGCCGAGTGTATTGTATTAACCGTTTGCACCACTCTCGGACTCCACCCGGCACAGAGCAAGCCCTATATTGTATAAGGGTTTGTGAAATACATAAACTAAATAAATCCCTGGGTAAAGTTGAGTGTTTTTCTTCCTGCAGGTCAGTAATTTTCTTATTAACTCTATTCACCATGATAATTCCTAACCAGCTAATTTGGAATATAAGAAAGCTACTGATTTTTACATACAGGCACTTCTCATATTAAATACATTTAGAATAGTGTGTACTTCTGACCTAAACATTATGTACATACACACATGGTAGGGCGTGGCATACCAGTCTGCATACTCATAATTATTTGTATTTCCTTTGTATCTGTGGTTTTTCTCCCTTTCTAACCTGAGATGTTCAGTACCTGTGTTTTCCTCCACTTTTCTTCATTAGGCGAGCTAACGGGTTTTCTGGAGCCCTGGTGGCATAGTGGTTAAGAGCTCAGCTGCTAACCAAAAGGTCGGTAGTTCAAACCCACCAGCCAATCCTTGGAAACTCTATGGAGGCAGTTCTACTCTGTGCTAGAGGGTTGTTATGAGTCGGAGCCGACTCCGTGGCACCTAACGACAACAACAATGGGTTTTCTGCTTTATTGTGAGTTGTTTCTTTTCTCCTCCTGTGGTGGAGCGATGACTTTGTGTGGCCTTGATAGCCATGGTCTTGTAACTCTCACCCAGGTGATTGTGTGACAGGGTAACTGTGGCCTATCAAGGGTATTGGTCAGTCTTGCCTTAAAAGAGAGCCAATTCCAGAGCAAAGAGGAGAGCGTACCCCCACCAAAGAAGGAGAGAGTGGCAGCAGAGACCTGCAGGAGATGGCGCATTGGGCTTCCTGGCCCACGGACCAAGAAAGTTGAGTGCCTTTGGGCAGAGACTGAGGGCCAGGGAAACGTCTACGCCTGATCCACAAATCTGGGACTTGCCAGCCTCCAAAACTCGTGAGCCATTTACTTTACATGGTCTGTGAGTGCTGTGAGATGTTGCAAGAAATTAGGGAACCCAAAGACAGGAGGGAGAGTACTGAGGCAAGAAGGAGCAGCTGATGTTAGAGATGATGGAATGGTACAGCAGCTTGGAAAAGTCAGACATCTGGGACATCTTTAACCTCTGCCTCATAGGAACCAGCTTTGTGCTGATCCTTATAAAAGAAATTATTCGTTTACCTCAAGAGAATCAACTCTTGAATTTATTTATCACTTCTACTGCTTCTGTTTTCTAATTCTGTAATATCTAAATTTATCTTTGTTAATCCCTACCTCTGCTTTTTAAAGGTTTACTATTGTTACTCCCCTCTCCATTTGGAGCTGCGTGTTGATTTTCAGTCTTTATTTTTAGTAATATATTTAATGCTATGAATTTTCCTCTGAGTATGACTAACATTTCTCACAGACTTCATCATATAAAAAGTTTTCATTATTGTGACTTTCAATTTATTTATTTCCATTTTAATTTCCTCTTTGATCCAAGAATTGTTTAAGAAGAGTTTTGAAATTTCTAAGTGGTTAATTTTTTTGTTTTCCCTTTGTGAAAGTACCATATTTTCACGGTGCACCCACGTAAATAATGCGCGCACGCATCTGACGCGACACAGCTCACTTATGAAAATAGCAAGGGTTGAGGGTTTGTGTAGTTGGCAAAAACATATGATGTGCTCATTATTTGTGTAAAATACGGTAATTTCTAGTAACAAAAGTGATCAAAGAATATGGTCTGTATTATTTGCCTTCTGAGAATTTATATGCGTCACTGGCACCAAATCATGCTCACTTTTTTCCTGTCTTTAAATAAAAACTTCCCTTAGCTCCAGGTCTTCTAAAAACTTCTGTCCCTGCACAAACTTCTTCAGAGAACAGTCTATCTATCCTCACTGTCACTAGCTCCTCTCCTCCCAGTCACAAAGCGTGTGGAGTCTGTCCTCATTACTATCTCTATCACTTTAATCATTTTCATCCCTCTCACCACCATCCTCAGCATTAGGAGGAAGAAGAGGAGGACAAGGAAGAGATGGAGGAGAAGGAGAAGTTTTTATTAAGCACTTACTATGTGCCAGAAACAGTACTAAGCTTACCCATATGTGACTCATTAACCACCACAACTACGATAAACCAAAAAACCAAACCCGTCGCCATCAAGTCAATTCTGACTCATGGTGACCCCATGTGTGTCAGAGTACAACTGTGCTCCATAGGGTTTTCAATGGCTGTGATCTTACAGAAGTAGATCGCCAGGCCTTTCTTCCACAGTGCCACTGGGTGGATTAGAACTGCCAACTTTTGGGTTAGTAGCAGAGCGTAAACCATTTCTGTCACTCAGGGATCCCACAACTACAATTAGAAAAAAAACTAAACCTATTGCTGTAGAGTAGATTCCAACTCATAGTGACCCTACAGGACAGGGCAGAACTGCCCCAAGGAGCAGCTGATGGATTTGAACTGCCGACCTTTTTACAACTACCATAGGAGGTGGGTAATGTAATCGTCCCCAGCCGAGCAAACCAAGGCTCAGAGACGTTCAGAGGTTTGTCCATGATGGCACAGCAACTAAGAGTGGAACTGGCTTTCTCCCTAAACTACGAGGTTTTTCTCCAAACACGCCTGCATCCTGGAGCCCGGGGACTGCCGACTCCCGCTGCAGCACTCTCCCCTTTGTCGAGGGCTCAGCACTGGGCTGACGGCTACCCCTCTACCCAGGCCTTCTCAGCTTCTTCAGCCCATCCCTTAAGAACTGGCATTCCTCCGGCTCTGTCCACCTGCCCTCCTCTCTCTCACACTCCCCCTGGGTGAGTCAGCTGCTTCTACTGGATAACTACAGACCAGGGGGCATGATTCTCAATTCCCATCTCCCACCCAAGAAAGCGTTTCCTTTAAAGCCAATTACTGGTTTTCAAAGAAAAAAGGAGAAGTCAGAGGAGAGGGACACAGAAGTATCTGAAGACAATGTCCACCCCTCCAACTGTTCTAGGAGTGCTCCATAGCCCACAGGACCCCTTCCCCGATCAGTATCCACCCCCTCTGCCCTACATGTCCAGCGATCATCACCTTTCGTCCTAATCAGCTACAGCAGATGCTGTGGGGGCCCTGCCTATGGGCCCTTGGCCTAGCTTGAAGGTCACTGTCAGAGGGTCACTGTTCATGCTGATGGCTTCGGGCATCTCCCTGCCTGAGAGCATTCTCTGGCCCAAGGTGGGCTGGAAGTGCTGAGGAGCTGAGGTCTCAGGAGTGACCAACCAATAAGGGACAGGAGTCTGTGGCTAAAACCTTGGCTGCCACTCCCCTCAATGGGATAGTTCTGAGCTGTATTCTATCAGAGGACCCCCGGCAGGATTGCTCTCCAGTTGCCCATGATGGTAACATCCCATTGTTGTTATTGGCTGTCTAGTTAATTAAGACTCACAGCGACCTCATGTGACAGAGTAAAACTATCCCATAGGGTTTTCTAGGCTGTAATCTTTACAGGAACAGATCACCAGGTCTTTCATCCATGGAGTTGCTAGGTGGGTTCGAACTGTCAACCTTCTGGTTAGTAGCCAAGCGCTTAACTGTTGCATTACCAGGGCTCCTTAACATCCTGTTGTTGTTACATGCTATCGAATCCATTCTGACTCATAGAGACCCTATAGAGTAGAACTGCCCCATGGGGTTTCCTAGGCCGTAATCTTTACGGAAGCAGATTGCCAGGTCTTTTCTCCTGCAGAACAGCTGATGGGTTTGAACCACTGACCTTTCGGTTATCAGCTGAGCGATTAACTACTGTGCCACCAGGGCTCCTTAACATCCCATTAAACTCGCTGCTATCGAGTCTAGCACGACCATAGCGACCCATAAAGGGTAGAGGAGAACTGCCCTATAGGGTTTCCAAGGCTGTAAATCTTTACAGAAATAGACTGTCAAATCTTTCTTCTGTGGAGCGGCTGGTGGGTTTGAACTGCCAACCTTTTGGTTACCAGCCAAGCGCTTAAACACTGTGCCACCAGGGCTACTTAACATCCTATTAACTCCACCCTCCCCCCGCTTATTGCCTTTCTTCCCTTCCTGGTCTCACCTCCCCCTTCCCTGGCAGCGCTTCCTGGGATCACCCCCCAAACAAACTACTTGTACCTAAACCTTTGTGTCAGGGTCTGCTTTTAGGGGGATCCCAAACTAAGGCACCAGCCCTGCCCCCAGCCTCCAGCAGGCTTCCTTGGGTCCAGGCTCCATGCTGGCCACCAGAGTGGTCCTTCTGGGG